ATTTTTATACACACACTTTGAGCTTGTGTTTCTAGTTATATACTCTCATATTCATAAGTTTATATTGTATTTTTGAGAGAGTATAATTTCCTTCTACACCGGCTAAGTTTTGTTCTTCATTTTTATATTCAAGCCGTTGTGTAGAACTCTTGTTTGTGTTTTTCAAACACATCTTTATACGGTCGAGAATAGCCGTTAAATTCTCATATTGTATCGGTCGAGGATAGCCGTATAAATCCTTGGGTAAAGGTTCAAGGATAGCCTTTGAAATCCTTAGGGGAACGGTAGAAGATAGCCGTTAAATCTTCATTGTAAACGGTTCGAGATAGCCATTGTGAAATCTCGGAGTGAATCCTATTGGCAAGCGTTGTTTGCCAAAACTAGTGCGGTGCTTTGACGGAGTTCAAGAGGCCGGGACTTAGCGGATTCGGAAATCCTTGAGGAGGAGCCTTGAGGTACTGGAGTAGGGGTTTCCCGAACCAGTATAAAATCGGTGTGCATTTTAGTTACGCTTTTATTTCTGCGTTTTATATATTGCTTCCGCATTTCCCAACACCGTTTTTATCAAACTCCGAAAAGATTTTAAACGCCTTATTCAACCCCCCTCTAAGGCGTGGGCACAACGTCTAAACCGACTAACAGACTCACATGTTCAACGGCACCTCCGACAACTGGCCGCTCCCCTATGCTCTCCTTGTCATGGAGATCCTTGATGAGTTCCACATCAAGACGGACGTTGGGCCCAAATGCAAAGGAACGAAGCATTGGGAGATTGACGAGTCTTCCTTCCACCCGGGAACCGATGAAGCTACGTTCCCGCAGCCTCGTCCTCGCCGCCAACCGAGAGCCACTGCCTCGACCGCCGCCACTTCGACCAACCCTTCTCTTGCCAAGCAAATGGCATCCTTGACCGCCACTCTCTCTCGGATTGACACCAACGTCTCCCAAACGGCCCAAAATATAAATATTTTGAGCCGAGAGCTTCACGGGTACTTTGACTTTGTCAATTACCCTTACGCTCATATGGTCCCCTACGCTCCTCCACCGAATGTCGGGGGTGCACCAAGCGGGACTAATAACATTGGGGGAGATGAAGAGGTGGACGATGAGGAAGAGGAAGAAGACAAGGAAGCGGAAGCCGATGATGATGATGATGATGATGATGATGACAGTGGTGATGAAGAGGAAGACGAAGACATTGACGAAGAACAGCTTCTCAATGATCTTTCACCAGACTTCTAGAGCTCTAGCTCTATTCCCTTCTCTTCTTTATTCTTTTTATGCTTTTTAAATTTGCTTCCGTTATGTACTCCGCTATTTCCCTTAATTAATTAATAACAATGTTGGGAAAAATATTATAGATTTTGATGATGATTTATTTAGAATGTAATATGGACTTTAGGTCTCCCCCAATATTCAATGTAATTTTTCTTTTTAGAAATATTGTTAAAACCAAGTTCTTGAGTTTTCCAATAAAACTGTGATATTTCTTTAAGCGTTTTGATGCCTGAAGACTTGATCAAATTCAGTGATATGAAAATTGGATATCTTAATCGGAAGTGTCAGAGACAAGTAAGGATTTCTCAATCAGATAAAAATCCTCAGATCCGGAAGACTACATAAGAACCGGATGTCTCGCTACAACCCGCTGAAGGCTAAGTCATTCAAATCGGAAGACTAGCGCGGATCTCCTTCTCACCCGGAAGT